TTTCAGATTATTTTTCAGAATTAGCCCAAAAATTTAATATTAGAGCTTCTTCACATGCCAGGTTCAATGTTTCTATACAATTTGTAATTAGTGTAGCTCTTAGATAAGTACTTAAAAAATGTCAAACTCCACAATTTATCGAAAAAAATTCAATGACAAAACCAGAAATATTTCAGCAATCAATCATTTGCCCATTTCGTTGACTGTATTTTCAAGAAATTCACAATTTTTTTTAACATGAAAATCGAGGGGTAAACACAGTGGCGGCGATATGCATAAGCGGATATAAGATATAAGCGATGATTCTCTAGGAAAACTTTCCTGGAGCCAATCAAGAGCCGGTAATAGACAAAATTTGAACTTTTATCATCTCTGGATTGGCTAGAGAATTTTTCTAAGGGTATTCAAAGCTCAAGAGCCGATAATAATTAAAATAACAAACAAATTATCGAGTAGAAAAAATCTTATGTTTTTTCATTACAAGGGTAGGTGGGCCTAATTGTGATATTTGCTTAGGGGCGCAGTGCATCCAAGCGCCGCTACTGGGTAAACAGCAGGTCAGTTTATTTATACCAGATTACGGTTTTAGGGGAAATCATGGATGATTTCCCATGATTTACTCTGATTTCTTCTGATTACCAGTAAGATTGTCCAAGAGTTCCCCTGATAACATAATCTCAAATTGAAATATTTTTGAAAATCGACTGATTTCCTTAAGATTTCCCTTGATTTCCTGATGATTTCCTCTGATTTCCTTATGATTTCCCCTGATTGCATACATTTCCTCCGATTTCTCCTAATTTGTACACCAGATTGCGATTTTAGGGGAAATCATCCATGATGATTTCTTTTGATCAACATTTCGAAACAGAGGAACAGCGTTCTCATGGAACGAAGGTTCTATCTTTGTCGCTCATATTTATATTTTTATAACACTAACATAGACAGGGCAATCGTTCTCATGAGAACGCTGCTGACATTCAGAATCTTGTAACAGGGGAGCAGCGTTCTCAGAAGAACGAGTATTCCGTCTTTGTTACTTATATTATCATTTGCATATTATTTAAAAAGACGGAACACTCGTTCTCCTGGGAACGTTGCTCCCCTTGATAACATAACCTCAAATTATAAAGACTTTTGAAAACTGCGCATCCGTTAGATTTAGAGATTGACTCCCCTAATTTATACACCAGATTTCCCTTGCGGTTTACCCTCGATGAAAACTAACTACAACTAAATTGAAGAAAGCTAAGATTTGAGTGCAGAAAGAGCTAAAGGACCCCGCAATATTTAAATGGAAATTGGTTACACGTGATATTTGGATGAAATTCAAATATATTATTGGGGATGCCGTAAGCAACATTTTTTACCATGGCCACAACCCTGTATATATGACAGGTGAGGCGTGGTTAGCTGTCAAATATTGGAATCTTATATTCAAAAGCAGAGTAACTATATGGCAGATTTTGGTGAACAAAAAATCTATTTCTACTAAGTCGACCAAGTTAAGTCGAGGAAAAATGTGAACCATTTTAACAAAATGTCAACAATTTTAACAAAATGTCAACCATTTTAACACCTGTCAAAACCCTGCCAAACGGCAGCACTCATCTTTTCCAGTTTTCAATATTTTATGTTGTCATTTGATATTTTAAACTTATATGTAAATTCTGAATTCAAAAATTGAAAAAAAAAAACGACAGGTGTCAAAATGTGACGTGCATGAACTTTGTTCAATGTTTTATCACCAATAAACTAACTTAAAACGAGAAAGGACCAGATTAGAGTTTTTTTTTTTTACTAAAACAAATGACAGGTTTTGACAGTTCTGTCATTTTTTTTTCTAATTTTTGAATTCAGAATTGAACTTGGTCGACTTAGTAGAAATAGATTTTTTGTTCATCAAAATCTACCATAGTTACTCTGCTTTTGGATATAAGATTCCAATATTTGACAGCTGACCACGCCTCACCTGTCATATATACAGGGTTGTGCCCATAGTAAAAAATGTTGCTCTCGGCATCCTTAATAACATATTTAAATTTCATCCAAATATCACGGGTAACCAATTTCCATTTAAATATTGCGGGAGCTAAATTTCAAGAAATTGAAGAGCATAAAATAATTTCTTATCTTATTTCCATTGGTGATTTGGGTTGTGAATTTTTTACGTAAATTAGGTACTGAATTTGGCATTTGAGTCTATCATATAGAGTTTTCGACTAATGGGAAGCATTATTGCAGAAAAGTTAGGTTCACCTAGAAGCATTGAATTTTTTTCTTATATTATGTCGAAGTCTTCTAGTGTATTGTGTTTTTTAAAAAGTCTGGACATTTCAAAAAACATAGAACAGAGCAATATTGCTCCAAAAAGCTATACATTTTAGAATCAATATGAAATTCTCCATCTATGGTTGAACTCTTAGAAGAGCAGGAAAAGCGCTGTCCTACGGACATACGGAGTAGGAACGCGCCATTCTGCTATGAAACTGAAGTGATGCCAGTTTTAAGCAGGTATTTATACACCAAATTACAGGTAAAGAATTGAATTAGCTATACCACCATTATTTTGGATCTCAAAATTCTTGAAAAAAAAGGCTTCATTATCCAACTCCATGTTCCTACTCCTCCCACTTAGGAAATTACTTGCTCTATGGTTGAACCAAATCCAAGTGGCAGTAATGACATTAACTGGTCTTTTTGATTACAACCTATCAAATGTCCTCCTCCATGCGCACTGGTCCTGGTAGGGCGTTTGAACCAAAAGAAGGCTCGATTATCAGTTGGTGTTTGTTTACAATATTTAGGTTATTTAATTTCATTATTTAATTCATCATTTCATCATTAGATTTGGAAATGGTACAGGTACTCCCGGCGTTGTGCAAAATATCTGCAAAGGTAGCAGTACTGAGCGGCTTGAAAGCCGAATCGACTCTCCCTACAATTTACAAGCTCCAAGTGGTGGATGAACTTCTAGGAATATTGAAAAACCTGCGTTGGGTATGCGGATGACATCGTCATCGTAGCAAGGGAAAAGTTCGAGGGTACCTCATGTGAACTCATACAGACTGGACTGAAAGCATCGGAGGAATGGTGCCAAACAGTGGGACTGGAGATAATTCCATCAAAAACTACCATAGTGCCTTTTACTTGGAAGAGAGAACTCCCTAGAAATCCTAGAATGAAGGACATTACTACTATTATACCGGTGACGAAAGTTAGATATATCGGCATAACTGGAATGCAAACTCAGATTGATAAAACATATTGAAGGAGTTCTAACCAAGGTTCTCACACAGTGTGCCTTGAAACCTTACAGACAAAACCTAGAGATGCCAACCAGGGATCTTGAGACGGATGTACACCATGTACAGTGTACAGCAACCTTACTATATATAGATCGATAGTCTGGTTCAAGGAAGTTGAGATGCAGAACATGAAAGCAGCTCTCAACAAATTACAGCGCCTGGCGTGTAAATGCATTACGGGCGCAATGAAAACTTTTCCCACAATAGCAATCCAGACGATAGTAAATTTCGCATCTCTTACATTGTAGTAGAGGAGGCTGCTTGACAAGCAATAACTAAAATCACGAAGGTTGGCTTGGAAATAGAGAAATGGCATCTGCTACCAAGCTTATTCGGCTCCTAAAATTCCCGAAGGATCATATGATCAAAACATATAATTTTGAGAAATGCTTCAGAGTAGTGATAAGGAACGGAGAGAAATGGAAAATGAACACATCAACAATGTGTTAAGAACTGAATAAGAGACCGGAGCCGGAATACTTGAGCATGAAATCAAGTTCTTCGAAGTAATGGGAAAACACCCAGACATATTTCAGGTGGAAATAAACGCTACAAGAGTCCAATCTTGACAGAAACTACAAAAAGAGAGCGATTGTCATATTCTCAGATAGTTAAGCAATCATTAAAGGGCTGAGCTCACCAATAATCAGCTCTAAAACGGTTTGGGAATGCCTGGACAAGTTGAACAACCTGGGCAAAAACAGTTATAAGGAAGGGCGCAGTGAAACAGCTCCTGCGGGAACAACTTCCAAGGTTAAGGCAATCAAAGATGTTTCTCGGGTTCGAAGAAAGATTGAGACTTTATATTACTGAGTAAAACAATCTTCGTATTCTCAATGGAACGAGGACAGATGCCGGAAGTAAGGAAGGGGAAGAAACTCCAGAACACCTTCTCACGGAGTGCGAGGCGATCGTGAACATACACGAACATAGAATCATCCAGCCTACTTGATTTCATAAAATCTTTAAAGCTGCTTTGAGTGATAATCCTATATCCACTGTATCACCACGATAGATCTATGCAGGTCGCAGTGTAACATGACCCCCAACTCATTCATTCAAGATTTCAATATGGAACCAAAATTCTTTTTGATTTTTGATGAAAGCCTGTGCACACAAAAACTGTAATACGTCCCATTGTCAGCAACAATTTTATTGAGAACGGGCAAGTGGACTTGATGGATTACCAGTCGCTTCACACAAACGGTACAAGTGGAAGAATAATAAATACCATGCAATTTTTTTCTATTTTCACGACCAATGGAATAATGAAAATCAAATTTGCCAAAGAAGTGGCTAATCTTTTATCTCTTCAACCTATCATCCATCCAAATTTCTCCAATCCCAAATTCCAGCATGTTTTTTGTTAGGTGTGAAGACTTCCTTTAAGGTAAGTATAAATAATTTGGATAAAATTGTTAGATCTTGATAATTTCAGGAATAAATTTGTTTGATAACAGATTGCTTTGTTATTGGAATATGAAATGAAAATTTATTCTGACTAACCTTGGTTCGAGATGCTAATAACATGTCCAGACTTTTCATGCAACTAATTACATTACAAGGCTTCGACAAGTGCATTAATATACACCACTCTTGTTGAAAAAACACATTTTTTTTTTTTTAATTTTAAAACTTACACATTAAAATACAATGAATTCACCAGGACAACAAATAAGACACAACCAACGATACCTTTTTCAAAGTCTTTTAATAAATTATAAACACATATTAACGCAGTTGATGATATAAATAAACATAATGTACACGGGCGGTTACATTTTACAGTACAACACAGGTTTTATTTGAAAATTACGCGGTACAAAACACACCCTTGAAAAGAAAAAAACGAATATAGTGTTATTTTAAAGTAATTATTATTTAAACATAAGGGTTTCATTGGAGGAAGAGGATCGTGATCATGCCTCGGCTTCTTGTACCTTTTCTCCTTTCTTGGACCAGTCAGGTTTTTTCTGAAAATTGAAAAAATTATCATTATATGCCATTAATACTTTACCGAATATCTATTTTAGTTAATTGACACACAAAAAGATATGACTTTTATTAAAATAGATATTCTATTATTATTTATTAGAAAGTGTAAAATAAAGATAATAGTAGGTAAATAATTGTGCAGAAAATATAAATAAATTGCCCAGAAAATAGTAATATAAAATTATTCAGGGCTACAAAAGTAATTGGGTGATTTAAGTTATTAAACATTGTGTTAAGTTAATAAAAATAAATTGCATTAAGTTTTAAAAGCAAAGTGCAAAAATAAATAAAAGTTAAATTTTTGATAGGGTAGCATCATTGAACAAGACATTAAGCGTATTATAAAAGTTGCTTTTTAGCTCACCTTTTGTCCTATGAAATTATCGAAAACAAAAAAAAATTGGGGGAAAAAAAGAGGCAAAAAACAAAAAAATAGAGAAAAAAGTGTCTCTGTGTGGGTTTGTGTAAAAAAAAAAATTGTTGCAGAAGAAAAAATTCCAAAAATGAAAAAATCTTTTTAAAAAAAAACAAGTAAAACCAATTCACTATCATGGTAATATATATTTTTATTAATTATTATTCAATATTTGATACTTTATAAGAACATTATATGACTGGAAATTTTTTTACTTCTTCTGCCACTCAGCTTTTTCCTGTTTGGGTTTCTGGAAAACGAATAAAAGGATACAGAAGCATCCCAATACAATACTCGCGAATTTTGTAACAGAAAACATAAAAAAAAAATACCTCTTTGTCCTCTTCTTCAAGGGTAAACTCCTTCTTTTTGACCACTTTGAGTTGGTTACGGAAGTTGAATTCGGCCGCCTTCTTTTGGAGCTTGGCGAATTTGTTTTCGTATTTGGAGACTTTCTTGAGGGTTGGTTTAACGCTAAAAGATTCCGATTTTGAGTGACAATTTCAAAAGAATTAATAATTGTAAATGTAAATAATGGAGTTTCTTATTGGTTCTATGGTTAGGCTTGGTCGAAAATCAGTGGGCCCTCTATTAGGGCTCATGTCTATTTATATTTTTCCATTCATGCCTATATCTTTCCAATAAAGTCCACGATAATAGAGAGATGTTGTTCAGGTTTTCCAGAGGGACCGTTGCCTTACTTAAGATATTATGCCTCAGTCTGCCACCTAACGGATATTCACAAAGAATTTGTGCAGCTGTCTCATGTCAAGAAGGAATGATGTAAGACTTATTGATTGGTCTGAACGATTTAGATTGATGGTCGGCTTCTTGTCATCGACCAGCTAGTTGGCATGTAACAACAAGCTAGGCTTGATCCGACTATCCTAATTAGTGAACCTTTCCCCCCTGGCGTGTCCCCATTTTGATGTTATGGGGGGGCTCAAGGGAGTCCACCATATATCCACTGATCATGGACAACAAAGGACCTACTCGGCACAGACCACCTACCGATCTTCCTGTACTGGAAAAACCCTCCAATACTAGAAGAATCTAAGGTATATTCGTACAGGAATTTCAATAGGCCAAGGTACAAACAAAAACTAAACGCCATAACAGTCATCCCTGATTCTATCTCTAGCATTCCAGAACTTGAGAGGCAAGTAGACATCCTTTCTAAAAACATTGAATCCGTTAGATACCAACTGGCCCCTAAAATGACTCCCAGACACATGACTGACACACTACCAGAATCCATTGTAGCACTCATCAAAGCACGCAACAGGGTGAAAAGAGCATGTCAGAGGCGCCCTAACCCACTAGACCGGGAGATTCTAAGGCTGATGAACAGCGAGATAGAGAAGGACATACGAAATCACAGGAATAAATCCTGGATGAAGTATGTCTCTACTCTGGAAGCCAAAGATAACTCCCTGTGTAAGCTGGCGAAGAACCTTAGGTGATCAGGATAGCAGCAGGCGGACCTGGTAGTCGGAGGCGCCAGCTACTACAGGGATCAAGATAAAGCAGAAATATTTGCTGATCATTTCGCTGCGGTCTATGAGGAGTCTCCCGATCTAAACGTAGAACAACGTAACATATCGGGAGTGACGGACGCCTTTGCCATGTAAAAATATCCTATCCCACCCAGAGTGCTACAACAGATGCTAACAACTCCAGCCATTATGAACCCTCCCCTGTCAATCGGCGGCACGGCAATCGCCTCAAAAGCATCGGCCAAATACCTGGGGATAGTCCTGGACAAAACGCTCCGGGGCTACCCTCAGGTAGCTCATTCACTCAAAAAAGCCTACGCAGCCGAAAGACTCCTTACCCCTATAATGAAACCAAACTCCTTCCTCAATCCCAAAAACCGTGTTGTCATCTACAAATCGATCATCAGACCAACCCTGCTGTACGGGGCACCCGCCTGGAATTACATCTGCAACACCCAAAAACTTAAACTTCAACGATACCAAAACAGGGTGGTCAAAACCGCCCTTTCACTGCCCTGGGATACAAGGACAGTGGAGGTACACAGACTGGCGGAATTGGACACCATCCTGGAATATTTCAACGAGGTCTCGATGAAATTTTTCCGGGAAACAGCGCAAGGACCTGACATAACCAAAAATCTTGCCTCCCTCAAATTCAACCCTGAAAATCCCGCAACACATCGGCCCATACACTACTGACTACCAATATACTACGACCTGCCTGGAATTACATCTGCAACACCCAAAAACTCAAACTTCAACGATACCAAAACAGGGTACTCAAAACCGCCCTTTCACTGCCCTGGGATACAAGGACAGTGGAAGTACACAGACTGGCGGAATTGGACACTATCCTGAAATATTTTAAAGAAGTCTCGTTGAAATTTTTCCGGGAAACAGCGCAAGGACCTCACATAACCAAAAATTTTACCTCCCTCAAATTCAAGCCTGAAAATCCCGCAATACATCGGCCCATACACCACCGACTACCAATATACTACGACCTGCCTGGAATTACATCTGCAATACCCAAAAACTTAAACTTCAACGATACCAAAACAGGGTGCTCAAAACCGCTCTTTCACTGCCCTGGGATACAAGGACAATGGAAGTACACAGACTGGCGGAATTGGACACCATCCTGGAATATTTCAACGAAGTCTCGTTGAAATTTTTCCGGGAAACAGCGCAAGGACCTGACATAACCAAAAATCTTGCCTCCCTCAAATTCAACCTTGAAAATCCCGCAACACATCGGCCCATACACTACTGACTACCAATATACTACGACCTGCCTGGAATTACATCTGCAACACCCAAAAACTCAAACTTCAACGATGCCAAAACAGGGTGCTCAAAACCGCCCTTTCACTGCCCTGGGATACAAGGATAGTGGAAGTACACAGACGTGCGGAATTGGACACCATCCTGGAATATTTCAACGAAGTCTCGTTGAAATTTTTCCAGGAAACAGCGCAAGGACCTCACATAACTAAAAATCTTGCCTCCCTCAAATTCAACCCTGAAAATCCCGCAACACATCGGCCCATACACCACCGACTACCAATATACTACGACCTGCCTGGAATTACATCTGCAACACCCAAAAACTTAAACTTCAACGATACCAAAACAGGCAGCTCAAAACCGCTCTTTCACTGCCCTGGGATACAAGGACAGTGGAAGTATACAGACTGGCGGAATTGGACACCATCCTGGAATATTTCAACGAGGTCTCGATGAAATTTTTCCGGGAAACAGCGCAAGGACCTGACATAACCAAAAATCTTGCCTCCCTCAAATTCAACCTTGAAAATCCCGCAACACATCGGCCCATACACCACCGACTACCAATATACTACGACCTGCCTGGAATTACATCTGCAACACCCAAAAACTTAAACTTCAACGATGCCAAAACAGGGTGCTCAAAATCGCCCTATCACTGCCCTGGGATACAAGGACAATGGAAATACACAGACTGGCGGAATTGGACACCATCCTGGAATATTTCAACGAAGTCTCGTTGAAATTTTTCCGGGAAACAACGCAAGGACCTCACATAACCAAAAATTTTACCTTCGTCAAATTCAACCCTGAAAATCCCGCAACACATCGGCCCATAAACCACCGACTACCAATATACTACGAACTGCCTTGATCAGGAGACCGCAGGAATTTAGCGCCTCACGCTCAATTTAACGGAAGGTAGCGCTCAAACTCTACTCAACATCCGACCACTCGACTTTGTATACCAAAGAAACGTGAAAAAGGGTTTTTGATAAATTTTCCCTTTATCAATGACAGGGCAAATACGGAATGACTGACTAAAAAATAAAATTACAGGAACACGATCAAAAGTCGAAACTAGAATTGAGCTATAAGGGGCATTAATGCCTCAGTAAAGTTTCAGAAAGCCTGGTTGTCGCTACTACCCCAAATTGTACCTGGTAGAGGGCCAAAACATCGGCCAATTCTATAAGGCAGTTAGGTTAAGGTAGCTTAAGTTGAAATGTAGATATTGAAAATAAAGAATTAATGTAATGTAATGGACATGTGCCTTAGAGCTAAAACAACAGGTAACTGGAAAACCTATAGAGCTGCTCTACCTATAGAGCAGCTCTAATGAATCACAAAAAAGCAATAAGAAAGGCAAAAACAGAATCTTAGAGGAAGCTATCCGAGGGCATAACAGATCTGCAATTACTGTGATTTGTTGAATTTTTCTAAAGGAAAGCCTAATAAAATCAGGACAAAATTAAATATCTATAGGAATTTTGAATGGAAAACTGAAAATAAGTGTGAAATAGTTAAAGGCAATTTTGGCACGTTACAACCCCCCCTCTCCTACGATAGAAGGGAAAGTTACTCCAGTGCGCTCTCTAGCAGTATCCAATGTAGATAGAAAAATCTAGAGCATTTTTTTGGTTTATTTTTGAATTTTAATTTGCAGGTAGAAGATGAATTTTCAGCCAGCGTTGCATGACCATCAAACAGTCATGTGCCAGTTTTCTTATACCCATGTCAAGCCGCTAAGGCTAAATCTCTGGTGGAGCATGATAAAAAATTCCGGCCCCACGTTGGGCGCCAATTAATTTGCCCCGCTTTTTCTGTGTTGAACATTTTAAATAAATGATCAATAATGAAGATTGCAGGACTGAAGGTCAAAGTACGTGCAAATTAAAGCTTACCGAACGGATGGTTGTAAAAATCCGAAATTATCATACTTTACGAAAACGTAACGCAACGTAAAACTCAATGTACTATAAATTCAATAATTGAGCATATAAGGTCGAAATCCCTCAAAAGCGAAGACAAAATTTAACTTCTTCAGAAAGACCTAGTTTCTCGGAACTACCAAACGTGAAAGAAAGGAGCACCACAGGAAATTAATCAGCTGTCCTAGAGGAAGAGCCTCAGAGCACTGGTGGGTCTGTACACTGCATACTCCGTTATCACATGCACAGGATCGGAATAGCACAAAGTGCCGAGTATCGCCTATGCATAAAAGAAGACAAAACTGCAGAATATGTCCTTTGGCATGTCAGGCATGCTGTTTTCGAGGAGTCAGCAGTTCGACCCGAATATATAAAGCATGCACACTTATCTCCACCTTCATAAGAAGGGCTGGACTAATGGGGAAAATATAAACTCGGAGTGAGCCACAATAGATCGTAGGGCCGACATCAGACCACTCACAAGAAATCTAAACCTAAACCTAACCTAGTGAACCTTTTTGAAAAAAGTTGAACTTCTCGATCCAAGCCCGAAGAATAGTTCAGCAATAACTTAACTATTCTTATGTACCTAGGAAAAGTTTATTTTTTTTATCATTCTATACTTACAATTTGCCCCTGAGGTCGTTGACTTGGCTGTTCAAATCGGCAATCTAACAATAAAATTTCAATTGAGTATCACAGAATTTGGAAAATAAATTAAATTTGTCAGTTCCTGGTTTAGTTGTATTGAAATTAGCTAGTATTTACAGAGGAAAAACCAGGAACCAACTTTTGCTTAAAAATGTCTTACTTCTTTTTTCAATGACATTTTAACGCAAATAATAATTGTGTAAACACATGAGATTATTATTACTATCATGACTGCGAAATTATTATCATAATTATCTTCAGTTCTTTTAACTGCATCTGGGACAAAATTCTCGTTGCAGAATAGCTCCTAGACTATAAACAGAATTAAAATTTCTACACAAAATGATATTTTTAACATCAAAACAAGCTAATAGTCCAATGTTTCATGTATGAATCTATCTCCGTTAAAAGGTCATTGGTTTCTTTGATCTCAATCAAAATAAGTCATTTTTAAAAAAGCACATTTACTTTTAGTAAACAATGAAAAACACTAAAGCGGGCGTGATATAAAGCTTTAAAACACTAAGCAGAGAGCGGTGAAAGGTTTAGTAAGAATAAAGTAGGGGAGACAAGGAAAAACCAAATATACCAGTAACAGGGAATGGTACTAAAAAAAAACTATTATTCTACGGACAATAAAAAAAAATTATATACACAATATACAGGGTAAAAAATATTGTCTCTGAAAAAACACAAATACTTTTCGACCACATAACAAAATACAATCAAAAAAAGTGTACTACTTGCTGCCTGTTAGAGAGTACTGTCATCGTTGTACTAGATGCTTTAACTATGCAATTAATTGGGGATTTACCGTAAAACAGTTAATAACAGTAAAATCGTTCTACGATTATGCACCTGAAACAGGAAAAATAAGCATGGCACTTCTAGCACTGTAGGTTCCGTCATTTTGCTTAAATTTTTTTTTGTATAATATTTATGGTGATTTGGAACGTTGAAACATTTAGAAAGTGTGGGGCATTTATCTAATAATATCTAAAATAATCAAGCCATGAAGGGCCATGCCGTTATAAAGGTCTGCATTCTTTAATTAGTTCGTTACTGCAAGAATACGGGCCTTTATCTGTTTAGGAAAAATCGCAAGGTCGAAGCATTGTTAAAGCATTTTTAAGACAATTTGAAAAAAAAATTGCAGCGCTAAAGCATATAGGATGAGGAAGGATAAAAAAAGCAAAATAATTACAATAAAATACAAAATATCTAAAAAAATATGTTCGATATGTAATAAGTGTAATTAGTCACATGTAACAAATATAAATGCGAGGGTGGAATAAGAAGGGTAAAAACTACGGCTGGACGCTTCATGTAAATTAAAAATGTAAAATTACATAGATCATATTATTTACAATGTAAGGGGGAAGGGATTTGTTTTTTTTTAAACAAATTATTATTATATTTTTGAAACAAAACAAACAGTATTTTTATAGGGTGTGTGAAAAGAAATACTAGAGCAGACTTAATAAGTGAATACATGGGTAAAGCTCTTTTTATATTTTATTATTATATATTTCCAAAATGCCAATTTAATATATTAGATGCTGATTTTTGAACAATTCTGTTTATACTTTATCAAGAGGAAAACTAGTTGAAAATTCCAAAACAGTCAAAACTTACTATTCTTTCGCCTACTATGTTAAACGCGATTTAGATGATTTATGAAAAATATTGTGCTCATGCATCCTCTGACGCAAGAAGAAGAAAATGAGTTTCGTAATACTAAAAAGTGTCATATTTGCGAAAAAGTATTTAAAGTAAGAGATGAGAAAGTTAGGGATCACTGTCATATTATGGGTTTTTTCGTGGTGCAGCTCACTCTGTATGTAACCTTACTTTCAAAGCTCCAAACCATATCCCAATATTCTTTCATTATATGCCAAATTTTGATTCCCATCTATTCATCAAGGAATTGTCTAAGAAAACGAGGGATTGGATGTTATCCCTCAAAATAAGGAACGTTATATTTCCTTTACTAAACATATTTTAGTGGATAACATGCGCCAGTATTTTTTTAAACACACCCCCTATAGTTTAGTTTCGTTCCTCAACAATTGGACATTTTGAATGAAATTTATGATAATTAAAAGCAAAAAAAAAAAAAACATTTCGGTCACTCATTTTTCGTTTTAGGGGCCGTGTGTCTCATAAAAATCGAAAAAATTGGTAACCATCGCCAAATTGACACAAGCTTAACGATTAACGGGCCAGTTACCAATTTTCCTGAATCCCCTTTTAAGAAAAAAAAAATAAAAATAGATTTGGCTCAGAATCTGGATGAGGATACCTCAAAATCTCTCTTGCGAACAATCAGTTCCAAATCCCATTTCTGCTCTTCGATTATGTATATACGTTCGTGGTACCCCTGAACTACCTTCTTTATGTAGTCTGAAATTAAATATGGAACCAAATGGGTAATTATTTTGAAATAGAGAAGAAGGGATTTCAACCTTGAGGATAATAAAATATATAAAAATAGTATAACCTGGAAATTAAAAATTATATTTATTGTTTCGATGGTTTTTATTAGTCGAAAAACTAAAATTCTGGGGTACTCTCGTGTTAATCTACTGTGTCAGAATGGGTTACTATTGGAGATTTTAAGCCAGCAATTTTGATAGGTGTTATCTTATAACGATAAGTAAAAGAAGCTACAAAAACCCTGCAAATCGAAGTAATTATTGACAGTTTTTAGTAATAATGTAATTTGCTAATTCAAATAACGTGAAAAACTGGAGAGTTTCAACTGAACCATCCCTGTCTGATTACAGGATTGTAGAGTTCAGCTTAGAAGTAAGTACCTCCAAAGCAAAATTCAATAGAAATCTCATGAAGGCAAATTGGTAGTGGAGGAGGCTGCTAGAATCATGAGGTAGGGAGCTAGTGATGGAGGTTGGCTTGGAAGGAGAGAAATGACTCTAACCAACCTTATTCCGATAAGATCAAAATATCTTATATCACAAAGTAAAAACAGTCTTCGCATTCTCATTGGATTTCTTAGCGCACAAGATTTCTATGAGAATAGTTTTCCCATAAAACAAAAGGCAGTCCGCAGAGATGTGCTTTGGTGGAACGGGCAGCTGAGACGTCTAAAACAAGATGCAGAGCTGGGACTCTGTAACTTGTTGTCTTCTTGTCTCTTTTCGAAATCAACAGACAGGTAACGTCAATTATAAGAATGGAATGTTGAAGTTCCAATTATAAAATGGATAAAGTCAATGCTCAAACACCGTTACGTTGCAGCTGGAATAAACGGAGCATCAGCTACCACTACCACGGTCAGAGGGTGTTCTTTCTCCACTACTATGGATATCAGTGGTAGACAAAATCCTTACCAGACTGAGAAGTGCTGGATACCAGGTCAAAGGCTATGCAGATAACCTGGCCATTATAATCAAAGGCAAACATGAAGGCGTAATAACAAGCCGAATGCAAAGTGCTCTAAACATCGTTGAAAATTGGAGCGGAGGCGAGGGATTATCCCTAAATCCAAACAAAACAATTCTTGTTCCGTTCACAAGAAGAAAGAAGCTAAATTTGAAAGCCCCCACCCTTAACGGTACACAATTAACATTTTCTAATGAAGTGAAATATTTGGGGGTCACCCTGGACCAAACACTCCACTCCCTTGGAACAAACATGTCGCAAACTGGTTGGTAAAACATGGGGGCTGAAGCGAAAGATGGTATGCTAGATTTAGATAATAAAGCCCATGGTCACATACGCCTCATTGGTATGGTAGCCCAAAACTCAGCAAGTGTCTCAACCAAAGCCTGACAGGAAAACACATATTTCTACTATCAGATAGTCAAGCTACCTTAAAAGCCTTAAAGGCTTTCAAATGCACCTCAAGCCTAGTCTGGGAGTGTGAACAGACCCTAAAAACATTAGCTTCACACAATCAGGTAACGCTAATGTGGCTGCCTGGTCACCGAGGCATAGAAGAAACCGAAAAAGCAGATGGCCTCGCAAAAGAAGGGTTCTCAACACCATACCATGGACCAGAGCCCTATTGTAGCTTGATGAAAAGCCACATCATGGAAGAGCTGAACAAATGGGAGAAAGACCAACTGTCATCATAATGGAGGCACACTCCGAGACTGAGACTGTCATAAAGGTTTCTCACCTTTGCAGCAAAAAGAGCTAAACAGCTCCTAAACATGAGCAGTAGGAGCAGTAGGACTGCTCACAGGACACTGCCTGGTGAAATACCACTTACGGTTAATGGGCAAAGCAGATCTCTGTAGATTCTACTCAGACGCACCTGCTCTGCGAATATCCAGCCCAATTCTTCAAGAGGCCTAAATTCGTCAAAAGGGCAACACTGTCACCAGAAGAAGTGGGCCAACTGACACCCAGAAAAATAGCTTCCTTCAGCAGAAGTCTACGCTTCCTGGAGATAATTTAAGATATAGAGTCACGTACAAAATATCTGCAAAGGTAGCAGTGCTGGAAAACCGACTCTCCCACAATCTACCATCTACAATCTAGGGCATCTTGAGAGAATTAAAATCAAAAACGAGTGAATATACGATTGGCCTGCTTCAGATTCTGCACCATTACCATCCAACCTTATATTGAAATAATCAACCTTGTAAGTAAAGTAAACCGTTATCGTTAACAACTAACTACCATCTTAAAACTGCGCTTGCTATATAAATAAAGGCTTAAAATCTCTCAACAGTTAAGGTTAGCTCAACCATTAATAAAAAAAAAACTAGCCTCAAATCTATGTGGCTATATCTACTATAAGCAAAGGCAAAGGAAAATATTCGTGGTGCTTTAAAACCACTTTCAATGAGTGTATAAAAGGGGATTCACAATTGGCCAAAGTACCAATTTTTCTATATAGATATAACGCGGCCCTAAACCGACCCTAAAAAGTGACTCGTCAGACGTTATTTGGGTACCTCGTAGTCTCGCTTTCGCACTTCGCGTTCCAAATCCCATTTTTGTTCCTCGCAAAGGTACATACGGTCATGGTACTCCTTAATTATTCGTTTTAGGTTAGCTGAAATTTGAAATAACGGAACCACCAGTGAATATTATTTTTTTCAGCATCTCTCTGTACTAATATGGGAATGGATGGTGGTGAGTTGAAACCCCAAAGTGTCGATTTTCGATAAGCGGATAAGTGAATATAGGTAGGGGGCTGATTTGAATTTACCTTATGTTTTGTTACAATGAACTTCAATTTTTTTAAGTCTCTTGAAAATCCTAAATGATGGATATATAATTTTAAAGCGCTCTTAATCCTTTTTAGATTTCTCTTAACATTCTGTCAGCCCAGACATTTTACGACAATACACAAAATGACGTTACTGCCATCAGTTATGTTTGTTATTGAAATTCAGTGATTTCTTATCTACATCCAACAATAGAAGGATTCTGCATTGATCAAAGAATTCGGAGACTTGAATTCAAACTTGGGGTCAAGTGTAAATGAACAAAGTGGTTCGACAAAGAAGATCTTCAAAGTGCTTGCCTTGCGCTGCACTACATACCGAAAGCATGGAGAGAAGTATGCAATAGTAGTTTTTATTTCTAAGGCAAGAAGGGATGGGTGCAAACGCACACCACACTGTGTGGGGTAACAGCCACGTCAACATTAGAGGTGGAGTACCTATTAGACTACAATCATTTCAAAAAATTTGGAAATTCTCAATGAACCTACTTTTGTTACAAGAATTCGTAAAGGGGTTCTAGATTTTGGCCTCTCTCTATATAAGCTTTCAGATAATCTGGCCTATAATATATTCTCTCCATATTTTAACAGTTGTGTTATAGCTCAAAATCTATACATGCCTCTATTTTTATGTGTAGACACAGTGACAGATAACTTAACATTGCTGTTAAAATAACAGAAAATGATATTCATAGGCCTGAACCTCTTGACGCGTGTCAGGAGAATCGTCCCTGTCTGATCACAAACATATCTGCATGGAAATTTCACAAGATGAGAGAGCAAAGCAGTTTCGTGATCCGAGGAGGACGAACTGGGAGGGATATGTGGAAGGTCTGCTTACTAACTGCAACCAGGTCAAAATTAATATTAAAACGTCACTGTTTGTAGAATTGGCAGCTAGTAAACTACAGGAAGCTATATTATCTCTTGTGGAACAAACCATAATCTCTGGTGGAACAAAGAACTTTCAGATCTCACGACGAAAACACGGAAGCTGTAAAACAGAGGGAAAAAAAACAGGCAGATGGGACACTCCACCTTAACCATGTATAATAGTCAGATCCGGAAGGCACAAATCGAAGAGGTTGAAAACATTAAGGTAGCAGCGAGACTTCAAAAAATTCAGACCAATCACACTGTCGTCCTTTTTTATGAAGATGATTGAAAAAACGCATTGATAAACATGTCAGAGAAACGTTTCTTGAAGAAAAGCCACTATACTAAAACCAACATGCCTATCAATTGGGTGAATCTTGCGAAACAGCCCTACGCCAACTGGTATCAAGAATAGAGCGCGCAAATGATAAAAAGGAGGTAGCCTTTGCAGCATTCCTCGACATAGAAGGGGCCTTTGACCGAACTTCATTTGAATCTATGAACACTGCTTTGTGCAGAAACGGACCAGATGGATTGATAACATGCTTCGTGGAAGACAAGTTCAGGCTACTCTTAATAATGATACAATGGAGATGTCGGATACCCAGGGTTACTCAGATGATGTAGTAATCGTAGTCATGGGGAAAAATTTACAAACTACTTCTGCGAAAATGCAAAGAGCGCCTAATATCGTCGAAGACTGGGTCAAAGGGGCAAACCTGAGTGTACAAACCTGAGAAAACAGCTATAATCCCCTTCACGAAATGAAGAAAACTGGACGATCTAGCCCCCCCGACTTTCTTTAGAAAACAAATAGAATTTGTACGGGAAGTCAAATACCTAGGAATTATCCTGGATGCAAAACTAACCTGGAATGCGCATACCTACTGAATAATCCACCAACAAAGAGCAGTGGGGAAAACAAGGGGATTTCCACCCCACATAGTATATTGGATCTATACAGTAATGGTAAGACCCAAAATAACCTACAGATCAATAATAGTCGAACAGAGGAAAGCAATAATGGAACTATCCAAACTTCAAAGACTGGGCTTGTCTCTGCATAATGGGTAGAGAAGCACTCCAACTGCTGCTATGAAAACCATACTAAATTTCCCGCCACATAATATCATTATCAAAACTGAGGGAAGAATGGGGGCTTACAGACTCAATTGTAGTTAGAACTGGAATCCGGACATACCAGGATATCAAACATTGTTACAAACTCACTATTTGAGATGAGAAGTGACATCATGTCCCCGAGAATAAATACTCACAAACTGTTTAAAACCCAGATTAACTGGGAAAACAGAACAGGAAACTCACTAGTCCAGAATAGAAAGTTAGTATGGTACACTGACGGCTCCCAAACCGTTGCAGTATATGGCCTATCCTCAAGATCAAAATGGTATTCTCCACTAGGGAAGTACACCACCGTATTCCAAGCCGAAATACATGCAATAGAGATTTGTGTGCATAAGGATATCACGATCTTCTCAGACAGCCAAACAGCTATTAAAGCTCTAGCATGCCAACAGATAAACTCTAAATTAGTGTAAGACTGCCTGCAATTCCTCTTAACCCTAGCCAGCCATAACAAGGTAACTCTTGCTTTGCTGACAATGAAAACGCGGACTTCTTAGACAAGCAAGGATCAGAAACGCAAATTATGGACTCTGAATCCGTATTCGGAATATCAAAAACTGGTATCAAATACCGAGGCAACACCACAGTAAGACAATGGTGAACTATCCTACAACAAGAGTAGCCTCTGAAATCCTAAAGCTCACAAGGAACCAGATCAAAATTGTGACGGGACTCTTAACTGGTCAATGTACACTGAGGAAACACCTTTACAAGATGGGAATCTACCAAGATGAACCCATCTGTAGTTTGTGCGAGGAGGACGAAGAATCAGTCTATTCGAGTGCCCTCCTGCATTCACTTACTTGAGAACACGACATCTCTTGGAGGAGGAATCTGACCTTTTGGTCCCCTGAAATCGCTAATAAAGAGCACCTAGCGAAGGTGTCTAACCTATTTTAGCTGAAACACACACTGCAAGGGATGCAATAAGCTAACTAGTTGCAGTGGCAGGGAATCACTAGACCTTGCCTTGCTGCCGTTAATCAAATCAATCAATCATTCAATCAAGACACGAAGGCTGATCCAGAAGTGCTTGGATAAGAATTTTGGAGACATCAGAGAATCATATGCAAGAATAATCGAACCACTTTGAAAAGCAATAGAAAGAGAGTACCAATAATGAACCACAGAAAAAAAGATAGGATAAGTGAAAAGGGGAAATGATGAGGAAAGAAACAGCACGAAGTATCCAATCCATCCAATAGAATATAAACAACTCTCGAAGTAATCTCATTGGCTAAAAACTCCTGATGATGTTCTAAAAGTATTTAGATTGCATAACTTCCCAATAAAAAAACATTTATAATTATTAACTTTGAACAAAATATAAGGTAAAAACAAAAATTTAGGATTCAAAACAAATCATACAGTTTCAAATGTCTCTCGAAATGCTATTTATAAACCATTTTTACATCTACAGGGTGTTTGCTATCAAAACATCATAATTATTATAATTCACCCTGTAGATATACAATTTTGTTGGTGATATGGTTATGATAGGTGTCCTTCACTAGGGTTTTTTTTTGTTGCAAAAGGGTAACGTCTCAAACCTCTACATACGGTGCTAATTCTCCACGTCAACAAAAGAGAATTTTTTTTCTAATTATTCTAAATTGCAAATATTTACAGAGCGGGGGCCATTTGAAACGAAAATAACTTTTTTTTTTTTTTGGTTGATTATAGTGAAACTAAAAAAGGTTATTTTCCTTTCATTGAAAAATATAATGCCATTCTAGGAATAAAAATTCAGCTGCCTCTATTAATTTAACATAAAAAATAAAATCCTGTTTATCGTGTATAATACCTCGCCTGCTTTTATTCGTTCTATAACTTCTAAATCATATTTATCCCCTTCTAGACTACTAATTCGTTGGTAGTAGCTTTGGCAAATTGTTTGTAGCTCGGCTAGAAGAAATAATAATAATATCTAGTAGCATATACGTTTAGATTTTTCTGGACCATTTGATAAAAATATTCAAGTTTGGTACGATCGACGAAAAAAAAAAAAAAAGGACGTTAAGGATAAGCTTGATGTGCAACAAAAATACAACAAAAATTAAGAAAAAAAAAAAAATACCAAACAAGTATTAAAAAAAAAAATACGTCTAAAAAATTAGCCAGCCATATTTAAATATAGGCCAGTTATTAAAAATAGAAAAACGCCACATGAACATCAACATGTTTCAAAGCTAAAAGTTACAAAACTTTCAAGCTTTAGCATTTTCTCTATCTATTTATTTGTTTGTTTAATACCTAGCCTATACATATGAGTGATTTACATATAATATTGACTTGAATCAAAAAAGATAAAAATTCGCACTGGCAAAAAAAAAAAATTATTACAGGCGCTTGGTGCTGTAAGCCTTCTAATAACATACTGATTTGGTGATGGTTACTTTACGATAATTACTAGGCCGAACAATGTTTTAAAAAAAAAGCCTCTGGTCTCTATTAATAGTTCTACCTGGAATTCTCTGAATTCTACTTCTTTTTCTAGATCGTATTTCTTATTTTCTAGATCAACGATACGTCTATAGTATTGCTCGCAAACTTGTTTAACTGTACCTAAAAATATAACTTATGCTGTTTTTTGTGGTTCTCTACAGTGGTGCCGAGGGGTGGATAAAATAATAAATTATTGTTGTTTATACCTCGAGAATCTTATAACTAATTAAATAATGAAGATGTCTCAAAATTTAGGTATCAATTTTTGTATTTGTATTTGTATCCACTTCCTAAGTTGTTTGAAATTTCGAACTAAAATGAAGTCATATGTAAATCGGGTTTTTTCGCATTGGTTGTACAACCAATTTTTCAATTTGAAAATAATGATTGTCAGATGTTTTACACCACTTTATAGAATACGACCGTTTTTTGTGTATATCAGATTTTGTAACAAACCCATATTTATTGTATCTCCATATTACCTATGTTACCTATTACCTATCGCCACATGCAAACTACACCTTTTCCATAAGTATTTCAGAATCTATCACTTGTATTTCAGATTCATCAATTCTAGTTCAGAATGCGTCAATTGTATTTCAGTTGTGTAAGTTCAATTTCAGAAAGTGTTATTTGTATTTCAACTTTGTCAGTTGTAGTTCAGAAAACATCATTTGTGTTTCAGATTCGTCAGGTGTATTTCAGAAAAAGTCATTTGTATTTCAATTTGGTCACTTGTATTTCAGAAATCGTCATTTGTGTTTCAGATTATTTATTTGTAGATCAGAAATTGTAAATTGTATTTCAGAATTCGTCAAATGTATTTCAGATGTTATCAATGTAGTGTATTGAATAAAATTTATAATGAGTCACCTATACACCTATCTTATGTTGATTTGGGGAAATCTGCGTAGATACCTACTAATTTCTGAACTACATCTGACAATTTCTGAATTACAATTCACGTTTTCTGAACTATAATCAACTAATCTGAAATACAATTGATGCTTTCCGATATAAAATTAACTAATCTGAAATACAATTGACACTTCCTGAAATAAAATAAACTAATCTGAAATACAATTGATTCTTTCCCAGATAAAATTATTTATTCTGAAATACAATTGACGCTTTCCGAAATACAATTTACTAATCTGAATTTCAATTGACGCATTCTGAAATTAAACTGACGATCTCTGAAATACATATGGAAAAGGTGTAGTAGAATTTTTTCCAACGATATTGTCAATCAATCAATCAAAATAATTAAAAAGTTATAGAGTTTTCTGGCGAAATAAAGTAGTCATATCAAACGAAACTTGTGTTAACAGTGATTTGTTATATTGGCGCCCAACGTGGGGCCTAAAAAGTGTCATAAACTGGTGAAGAGACCAGTGGCGGCTCGTCAGAGGAGGCAGGGGAGGCTAAGCCTCCCCCAAAAAATTGAAAATTCAATCTCAGTTTTTTATTCCTAATTTTTAATTAAAATAATTCACAAATTAAACTTTCCAAATTTCGGCATTTCAATGTAATTTAGAAAAATCTGACAACATTATTTAAATCAATCCCGTGTCTCCACGACAAAAATTTGTGAATTTGGAATACTCAGTAATACGAGCCCGAATAGAACTCCGGCCCGAATACGCAAGCCTAGAGGCTAGAGTTACACGCGAGCCCGAAGGGTTAAAGTTATACGCGAGTTTAAAGGGCCGGAGTAATATGCGAGCCCGAAGGGCCGGAATTATACCCGAGCCCGAAGGGCTAGAGTCATTTTCATCACGGGGTCCCCCAGTCTATAATTCTATTGGTCAGCGGATAATTTGGAGCCAATCAAAAATCGGAAATATTCAAAATAAAATCATTAACATTCCTGAAAAACATTTTCTTTAAAATTCCCAAATATTTTTTGGAATCCCCAAAAATCTGTTAAAGTCTCTGAATTTCATAATTTAGTGGAATTTCCAGGAATTTCGGTAGAATAATTATGTTATTCTGAAAAAAGAATTAGATGTGAAATTTTTGCGGAGTTTCCATAGAATTCATATTAAATTTTAATTATTCATCTCGAATTATTTGAAATTTCAGTGAAATTCCGATCGAATTACACGAAAAATCAATGCCGAAGAATTTCCAGCTGAAAACATGGAATTTCGGTGATATTCCGAAAAATTCCCATGTAATGACATGAAATTTCAATATATTTCGGTGAATTTTTAAGAAATTACTTGAAGCTTCATTAATATTCCCAGAAATTCCTGGCTATTAAAAGAGAATTTCAGTGAAATTCCGAAAAATTCTTATGATAATAAATTAATTTTTGAAAAATTCCTTGAAGTTTCATTGGACTTTCGACAAATTTTCGGCTATGAACATGAATATTTTTATAAAATTTAGGTGAATTCCGAGGAATTTTTAGGAAAGTACATGAAATGTCAATGAAATTCCGAAGAATTTTATGACAATTTTGTGGAATTCCAGGATTTCAGTGGTAAAATTTTGGGGAATTTTAGTAAAGTTAAAAAAAAAAATATGGAATTTTGAAATTGAAATCTTAGTGGAATTCCGAGGAATTTCATGAAATTCTATACTGTAATTCCGAAAAATTGTTTTCCAAGAATTCCATAAAATCTTTGAAATGTTAAGGTATTTCTATGAAATTACTTAAAATTTTCGCGGAATTTCCATGGAATAATTTAAAATTTTTATGAAATTCCAAAGAATTTTGATGAAATCTTCAAGAGGTTAATCATTCCTCGAGTTCGTGTCACAAATTAGTCCGAAATCCACGAAATCACTCCGAAATCCCTCAGGAATCTTTCAGAAATCTTTCCGTTAACCCAAAAATCCCTCGTCATTGGCTCAAAATTCATAAATCAGCCAACGCGGCCGTTTTTCAGTTTACACTAATATACTTTTGAATATACTTATAAGATAAGTAACAGTCTGGAATCAAATCAAAATCTTTGCGAAATCACCTGAAATTCTCCGAAATTTCCCAAAATCCTTCGAATTTACCCGAAATCACGCGAAATACCTCATAATCGCTCTAAATCTGAAATCTTGTCAAAGTGAATAATCCTTCGAAATCTTTCCGAAATCCTATTTTTTACTGGAAAAAGGACATGGCACTATTTAAGTGTAATTTGGCCCTCTGCTGATTTTCCTGAAATTTAAGTATGTTTTAGTCGACACCAAAATAAGACTTTTTTATCATTGCGCCAAAGTTCTAGGTCTACCGGAACTGCCAAAAAAGTAAGGCCAAAGTAATAAAAGCGGACATAAAGACATGCTGATTTTAATGAATTATTATTCTAAATAAGACAATGTTATATCGACTCAACTTTAAACAAGTATCATAACATTTTCACATATTATTAACTTTATATTTCCATTAGCTACGAGGTGTTTTCCATAGGTATTTCGAAAAATCACATTTTATGAGCACCATATATTATGTTATCTACGTAAAGTATGTGTATATGTATCTATATTATGTTTAACTAATCTTATATGAACAAGTAATTTTTGACAGTGGCGTAGAAAGGGGTGGGGAGTAGGAAGCTCCGCCCTTCTGTCGATATTTCTCGAAATTCTAAACCAGCGCCTCAGAAAAGCATTTTTATTTATTTTATTAGCAGACGAAAAAGTATGACAATACAGGTTGTAATAAAATTGTGTATGTCAATAGAATATCCTAAAAAATGTTGTGGATACCAAAGAATAAAAAAAAAGCTAATGATAAATATCGAAACACCTCGGAAAAAACTGATAAACAAACATGGAAAGAAAAATGAAAAAAATATTTCATTATTTCCAAGTAGCTACTTCTTTAAAGTGAAGTACAGGGTGTCCCTCAACGAACTGGCGGGACGGAAAATAGACTTTGTATTTTAAAAAGACAATTTACTAAAGGGTGCAATTCGGCTAAAATATTTTCAAAATTAATCAAAATGGTCAGACTTTTGGTTATACCGGGTTGATGTCAACGTGCCTATTTTAAAAAGTTTAAAATCGAATTGCGATAGAAAAGCTTTGAAAGATTTGTTTTGATGCTGCCCAGAACTTGTGTAGTTGACAAAATGGAAAATAGCTTTTGAACGCGTTACTATTTACAGAGCTGAGCAAGCTACTTAAAAAAAATTGCTAGCTACAAGCTACAAGCTACTCTATATTGTAAGTAGCTAAGTTACTTAGTAGCTCAACTACCTCTTCAAAAAAATAGCTAAGCTATTGGTAACTTAACTACATATTGAATTAGTGAAAGCTACTATTTAGGCTACCTACTTTTTTGAAAGTTAAATTGATAAAAAAAAAGTGCACATTTCCTCATATTTTGACCCTTACCTACCGCTTTAGCTATACGAGGTGGAAAAAAACTTTAAATATGGAAGTTGTACGGTTTTATCGGTAGTATAAGTTGCTAAAGTTGTAGGTTGTTACGTGGAAACACGGACACTATTAATTTGTTACCCACAAAACGCGAGGGAGAAGTTAATAATAAGATTTGAGGAAGGGAGACAGAGAATGGGTAACTAAAGAACTAAAAAACAAAATAATAAAAAAAAGAGAGGGTTGGTTGGTAGCTGAAATCTAGAAACGTGACTTCGTGTGAAGGGTTGCCGACTAGCTTCCAATGTGGAGAGGGGTGTGGGTCAATTAAATAACTAAATATGGAGCGCCACCTGCTTTTCCTTGTAGTACACGAAATCAACCGATGTAACGAACACAGGAAACTTCTACGAACCCATAGCAGCACAACCTGAAATATAAACGTAAACAAGAAGGGAGGACAAAAGTGAAACGCTTTGCTACAATCAGGTACGGGTTTTTAATTAGAGCCAGAACGGAACAAGTTTGACTCCAGAGCAGGTTCGGAGTGGGTTTTCCGACCGCCCTAGAACACTGAAAATTATTCACACTGGAACCAGAACAAGAAAAGAAATCGTCTCGAAGTACCTAACCATATGTTCTTAAAATAGTATTTACAATAATTATTAATTACACTCAACTTGAGTCCCTAAATAAAGAAATAAAGAGTATTGACAGTATTGTATAACAATTACCAGCAATATTACCTGAAATATTAATTAATAAATAAACTTACTAAATGCAGTACCTTC